TGCCCAGCTCCGCCATTTAACAACACGCAGACCATCTATATATAACTCAGGCCAGTGCCCTGAGGTAAGGCTGCAGCAAAAATAGCCTCCAATGAATACCACATCCGCATAATAATGGTATTACACTGGATGCAATGCTTGATGCCTGATGCTGATGGCGCTCGTCTCGTCTCCGCCGGTCTCTAGCCCTCGCCTAGATACATCTTAAATTGTGTAAAGGCTCTTGCTCGATTTTCGCGGGCCCCAGCTCCTTAGGCGACGTAGCCTACGAGGCCATCAATGCTGTGAACATACGGCAATCTTGATGGAGTTGAATTAGTTATTTACCGAGACTGGCCGGCTCATGATACCTCTTGCTCCGCACTGACGGTCTTCTTCAATGCCGTAACGACGACGCGGTTAGCATTACGACACGCAACCAAGCACCGCTCCACCATGTTATTATACAGCACGACATCAGCGCCGGGCAGCTGACCCTTGAACCACACGTTTGTGACCTCGTCTCGCGTGGGAAGATAGGCAATACAGCAAGCCGCGTAGATCTTATGGTAGTCGGCAATGGCCGGGTCGAGGACGACCGATGGCGGGCTGTTTGCGCCCTTGGAGACCAGCGCTGCGACGCCCCCGGCGACGGTGTCGACGCAGTCAATGCCGGCATCGGCAATCGCAGCCGAGGCTACGGTGATGCAGCCGCTCAGCACGTTCATGGTATACCAGCCGTCGTCCCGTTGGTTCTCGGGCGCATTGCGATCTTGGTCGCCCTCTATTATGGTAACTATGATGTCGACACCACTCTTGGGCCAGCGGTCTGCGATGATGGCTCCCCGGAGTGCGGTCTCCAAATGTACGCCAAGATCCCTCTCGCTTGAGTCTCGTAGGTAGCCGCGCCGTTGCTTCGTCGCGAACGGGGCATATTTGACGTGAGTTGTCAGTATGATGTGGGGGGAGAAGGGCGCAGATCGTGGGAGAGCTCGTGGGCCGTGGACGGTACATGTTAACTTGAGGCTCGTGTTGCTCGGACCGGTGGCATTGGGGCTCTCAAGCTCCAAGTAGGCAGACCCAGAAGCAGACGGAGTCACACCCGTTTTCAGAACTGCGCATTGAAGTTCAGTGGGTGACAAGGCCAACAAACAAGATAACCTCTTCGACGCAGCTTGCTACGTACAGATTTTGCGAATGGCATTTTCGGGCTTCTCTATGCTGCTCTGAGTGGGAGGAGGGCTGTCGTAGATCGGAGGCAGCGTAGCGCCCACGGGGCCGTTTATCCTTCTCCGGTCAGCCATGGGCGCCGGGATGTCGGGGATTTGCTGTTGTTTAAGATCTCCAGGACATGAGCTGCATGTATTGGTAGCTCAACTTTGAAGTTGAGCTCTGGGATTGAAGCCCCACCTGGCTTTCTCTTATCGATTGCCCCTAGCCAGCACCTGCCAATCTCAGGCCCCACTCCCAACCAACCTTTCCCTTAAATTTAATTCAACAGAAATTTGCAGCTTCATCCTCCATGTTTCTTCCTCCACCTATCATCACTGTCTTTCCCAAGGCCTGTCATCAACCCATATTGGAGCACCAACCCAGGGTGAAAAGCGACGGAAGTATTTGAAACAGCAAAAAGAGATGATTCCATTTACTTCACCGTGACATATTCAGATTTGGACGCGTGACGCTGTGGCTATCTGGTTCAGATCTGCAGAAGGGCAGTAGAAATAGAGGTAAGCAACGAAAAGTCTCACTCAACATCGGCCTTTTGGCCACATCTATTCCTCCCCTGCCCCCTCGCTATTGATGAATTACTTTCCACAGTTCTCGCGACCACCTGAGCGTACTGAACTAAACATGCACTACCATCTGAAGCACCATATTGGCTGGGTCTTGCTGGAACAAATGGTCTGAATCAACAGCTAACCCGAACATCAGATATATATAGCAAATACATCGAGCCTCTATCTTCCGACCCTCGATATATTCATAGTAGGTGAGTTATCACGGCTTTTACTATTTCTCTACCTTCTCCCCGTTTCTCTGATGAGACCTACATCATTCAGTTCTGCTTCTGAACCTAATGAAGATACCCCATATACCAAAAATTTACTCTGATCAAAACCCTCCTATCTCGAGTCTTCTTGGACAGCCCTTGCGCGATGGAACCAATAGCTGATCATTTCTCAGGTTCGCTTAGATACCATTCCCTGTCCCTAGCATGTTCAATGCTCCGCAAGAACCCGTAAGTGATTAGTCGTCTCTATCGTGTCTGTACCGTCCCTATCTATCATGATGAAAACTGTTTATCCATTCAACTATCTCACATTGGGTCGAGCCACCCTCCCGCACCGGAGTTGGTCCTTCGGGGCTGGTAATGATTGGTTGTGGAGTTGCTTGTTGACTACCTCAGTCTCGTGCTGGAGTTGTTAGGAGTGTCATGCTGGCTTCCGTGTTCTCTACCTTCATGTCTCGTCTTGAGGTATGGGGGTGGAGAGCCGACACATGTGAATGAGTAAAACGGTTCGCTGAATGAAAGCTATCACGTCATGTTTCAAACGGAGCAAGTATTGTGAACCTGCTAACTCATCTCACTTATCAGGTACCTTTCTTTGCATCGTCCCGTATCTTTAGACAATCCAGCACTTCATGTTGGTCAATATTGTAGTTGTAAATGTTCAATCTAGCAATTGGTGCTCAACCCTACGTAGAAATGTGCTGTTGACTATTTCTTTATTGTCCCAAGGGACGTGCCTTTTTTATTTAGTGTCTAGAATGAGTATAACGGCGTATTGATACCTATCTACGACTTCCTGTGCATAACTCCAGCGCCAGCCTGGTGGTTAGGGAAGATTAAGGTGTCAGCGACGACGACGTTTTCTCTCCTGCCGGCAACGAAGACAATGACCTCGGCAATGTCATCAGGAGTAAGTGGATCAACACCGCTAGAAGTGTCATTAGCAGTGAAATCGCGTGGTTCGTGGACAAATGGCAGGACTCACGCGTATACGGCATCAGCCTTTGCTTTATCACCGTAGAACCGAACGACAGAGAACTCCTGTTTATCCCTCAATATTTAGCACACAATTGATACCCGAGCAATGTCTCGTAAACCGAGTCATCAGAGAAAAGTTGGGGTATTTCATAATAGAATGGGTATATGGTCAAAAATAAAGAGAGAGAGAGAGAGCACTCACAGTCTCGACCTGACCGGGATCGACCTCGAGCACGCGGACGCGCGAGGCGATGAGCTCCTGGCGCAGGGCGCTGCTGAAGCTGTGGACGGCGGCCTTGGTGGCGCAGTAGATGCTGCCGCCGGCGTAGGGCTCGCGGCCGGCGATGCTGCCGACGTTGATGATGTCGCCGTGGCCGCCGTCGGGGCGGCGCAGAAAGATGGGCAGGATCGCCTGCGTCATGTTGATGAGGCCCGTCACGTTGGTGCCGATCATGGTGTTCACGTCCTCCTCGGCGATCTCGGGGGCCCTCGCGACGCCCTTGACGAGGCCGCTGTGGAACTCTTTCGTCAGCCTTTCCTAGATGGTCTTGAAATAATTATCGTGCCCTAATCCCCCCCCCCAAAATAGAAGAATGGGAAGGATGGATGGAAGTCAAGTAGATAATATTTTCCCCCCACTCACGCATTATTCACGAGGACGTCGACCTCCCTGAACTCCTCGGGCAGCTTCCCCACGAAGCCCCGGACCTCGTCGGGCTTGCTGACGTCGAGCTGGACGGGGAGCACCTTGACGGCGGCGTCGCCGACCTCGGCGCGGATGTCGGCGGCGACCTGCGTCAGGGCGTCGAGGCGGCGCGCCGTGAGGACGAGCCTGAGGCCGCCGGCGGGCGCGGCCGTGCGCGCGAACTCGAACGCCGTGCTACGGCCTATGCCCGACGACGCGCCCGTGATGACCACCGTCTTGCCGGCCAGGCGCTTCGCGACCGCCGAAGACGCCATTGTGCGCGAGGACGAGGAGGACGAGAACGATGACCGCGCGACTTGGGCGATGCGGGTGCAGAGACCGGGGGTTAGGAGGGCGGGTTGGAAGGCGAGGAGGCCGCTGGGCTTGATGGATGGTCGGCGGTGGCTGTTGGCGAGAAGCGTGCGGAGTGCGTGGTGGATGGTGGAGGAGATGGAGGAGGGTGTGGTGTGGTTGAGGGGCATGTAGGATTGGAAGGGGCCGAGAATGGGCTTGCGAGGGAATAATAATCAATCAAAGAAGGAGAGGAGGAAGGAAGGAAGGAAGGAAATAAGCAATAAATGAATTAATAAACCCGCAATAGGTTATCTAACTAACTAACTCCTTCTCTCTCCTCTCCGTCTCTGTCTCTGTCCATCTCTCTCATTAGTCAGTGCTAAATTAACTACCTAAGATAGGTATATAGATTGGGTAGGTATCCTACATACATCCTATGTGTACAGTAGAGAGGTGCAAGTACTTCTTTCAGATTCGATATCGGAGCTTAGCTTTAGTAGCTGTAGCAGCGCAGATGTAATTATGATGTCGCCATCTCGAATCAACCCCGCCGGACCCTTTTCCGCTTCGCTCTCTTTACCCCGCCGAGCCGAGCTGCGAGAGAGCATAATGATAAAACCCCGAATTCCCGGACGGGTTTTGTCGGTCGTAAGCTTCACGGGGTGGTGTAGAGGGTGGTTTTTGCGATGGCTTTTCGTCACAAATACCTCTACTGAATTGGTAATAGATAACCCTGGAATTCATTGCCTCTTGTTGGCGTTAGTTACAATAATAAGGGCCACGCGGATTTATCTCATAACAGACAATAATACCAATGTTGCCATCAGATAATTTGGATGGATAGATTGAGTATGTTATCCTTTCCTAATTGGCATCCGTATTGACATCTTCCTAAATACTCTTACATCTGCGGCAATATTTATTTTCCTTGTCCTTAGAATGAAACAAGTTGGCGAATGAGTTGGAGAAGCTGAGCTCAACCAAGAGACAACCGATGGATAATAAATTCGCTTTAGCAGTCGCGTCGATCACTGGAGATGTATCAGCCCCGCTGAGGTAGTGTAGCGGTCAGCACGCGGGATTTTGACAAGAGCTATCTCTCAGATGGTCTCACTGTATCTTCCCGAGTCCCCGGTTCGAACCCGGGCCACAGCTTTTTTGCCTGTCTCATTTTGTGATATTGGGACAAATTTGGCCAGCTTTATTTTTGATTTTTCTGATTCTCTTCGTGAAGGACCCGGAGCAAAATGTGTTGGAGGTCAGTGTAACTGGTCAATGTGCAGTATGTCTTGAATGTTATCACCATTATAATGTGAGCACAAGAGAAGAATAGGTGTGATGTGAGCACAAGAGAAGAAAGGTGTGATGGTAGTTCCTATGTATTTCAGATCTAGCCCCTCGTCTTACTTATTACCCATCATCTGTTATTCTAATAATTCCTAACTACAATGTAACATGGTGGTGCTGGTGGTGTGGTATCTATCTTGAATGACATCGCTTTGTTGAACTTCTTTCCTTACATCTTAACGCCAATCAAAACTGCTCTAGAAGAGATTAAGCAACACGCTCAGAATCTCTACTCAACCGGGTGACTCCTAACATCATAGAGGCGTCCATGGGCACCGTTAAAGCTTCAATTGAACCCCCGTACTCCTCTACTAGAGCATGGCGGTGATACCTAGGTCGAGTACCATCGTAGCCATGCTCGAAATACCATCCTTATTTCGCAGAGTGGCCGTATCCAGCGTGACCCAGTATTCATAGAACTTTCGAGTCGTCAGAGATCGAGAGTCATATGCGTCGTTCCTCTATATTGTCTTTCGAAATGGCTTCTCAAGCACTCCTCGTAATACCGAACTCGTGGTTATACAGGGTCAACCCAACTCTTAATGGCAGCCATCGCAATATCGTATTCAAACAAAACAGTCTCCTTTGGGCCTAACGGCAACGGTTTGTCCCAGGCATGTTTCTCGCCCTCCACCACGCGGACGCTGACCTTCTTGCCGCGGTTCTCGAGTCTCTCGGCAAACAACTTGCCCTCGGCGAGGAGCATGTCGTATTCGCAGAGACACAGGTGAAGGGGCGGCAGCCGGTCGATCAGCTCGTCGGGCATCAGTCCCGGCGACAGCCGTATGTCCGTCCGTTCGCGCCGCGGAAGTGGAGGGTGCACGTACGACGCGTCGATCAGATCCGTGAGCCCGCTGGGCAGTGTCAGGTCCGGCCGTTTGCAAGCCTTTCGCTTCTGCGGCCGGTCTAACGTCCAGTCGAGCGGGGGGTAATAGAGGACGATTCCGGCGATCTGGGGCACGGGTGCTAGTAATTCGTACTTCCACCTCTCGGGGTCTTGTAAGACGATCCAGCTGCTCATGGCCAGCGTGGCGCCGGCAGAGAAGCCGGATAGTATGATACGATCCGTGTCGATGTTGTATCGATCTGCGAGCTGACATATCTGGATGATGGCGTCGGCGCAGTCCTCTACTGGCGTCGGGAACGGATAGCTCGGCGCCAAACGGTAGTTAACCGAGAAGACCACGGCGCCCAAGCTGCTCACGAGAGCATCGGCCCATCGCGAATCGTCGGTCCCCTGACCGATGATGAACCCGCCGCCATGGAAGTTGATGACAGCCGGTCTCTTGCCGGAGTGAGATGGCTGCGAGCTACCGGATGGAACCCATACGTTTGCACTGAACGCCTCCTTGCCTTTCCATTGACCCAGCGTCGAATCGAGCCAGATTGTTTCCGTCGGGGGCGACGCGGGCAGGCCCGAGCGATTCCCGATCCTGAACCCGATGCCAGCCAGGAACCGGAGGCCGAAGGCGTGGGCGCCCAGAAGCCAACGGGGACTCTTGTCCGCAGGGTTCACGTAGTCTTCCTCCACGGGCGGCGGTCCGATGTCGTGGATGGAAACGACTTCGGAGGCATCGACTTCCGCCGTGCTCTTCGTATCGTTCGACATGTCTAATATAATGATTCTTGGGTTTCTCTATTCACAGGGCGGTAAAAAAAAGTAAACAAAAAGTTAATTATTTGGTGGTGTATGAATCTTGGCCTTGAACTCAAACTTAATCTTGGAAGTAGGTGATGAAGATCGGTGACGAGCGTTGCCTATTGACAATGAGGATGACGTCGTTTCTGTGTCTCTACCTGGTTAGACCAGACCCCTGGCGGCCTGGAATCTCGGGTACACTAAGTACGCTCGCTACCTCATCTTTAGCGGGTGGCGAATCATATCGATTTATTTCTGCTTTGACATTACCGATCGACGTAAAATTTCCGCTAAGGTGCCCATTAGTAGATAGACTTTTGTTTAACTGGAAGTTGCTATTAGGGAAACAACACATACAGTCTTGTTGTCGAAACAACATGTATCCATATAGTTAAGGTACGAAGTTTATTGTGGCCTGGTGTTGGCATTAGTGGGGACCTTGCCACGGTCACGGTATTGGGTCGCGCACTCGCGTGTTAACTGACGATGTGAATATGGACAGATGGGCGGTTGAATCGGTAATGCACCGCCAGGTAGACGGATTTACTATTTCTCAAAATACGGAGCGCGGCGACTTGACTAGACGTTCTTCGAAAAGTTTAATATCATTCTATGGCCTGGCCCTATCTGGCCCGTCGCTACATACCCGCCCATTCCAGACAAAACGTCCTCACCGGTGGCGCTATCGGTCCACTGCCTGGTTTAAACTGCTCATTCTCGTCCTCTCGCGCCTTTTCGGCACCAGGCGCGTCAGCTACGGCCCCGCCGAAAAGATAACCTTTTTTGACAGTAGTAGCGAGCCGCCCGCCTCCCACGAGATCTATCATTGAGATTTCCTCATCCCAACCGAAGTGGACACCGGCAAAGTGACTGTGGAAACGCAGCGGATCACCAGGATACACATTGTAGTCGCAACCAAAGCGGAGGCCGGGCATCATATAATACCCCTTGTCGTGCAGGTGCGCAAACAAAGGATAAGACACGGGCACATCTACGGGAACTGAGGACTCTGGTTCGGAGTCTGGAGACGATGGGAAAAGGAAACTGCTGGTGGTAGGTGTGAGCACATAACCCTCAACATCATCAGCTGGTTTGTTGGTTGCGCTGTGCGACGTAGTGGACGAGTCAAAGAGACTTATACTCTCATCCACCTCGTCGTCGCCGCCGAGACCACCAGTAGACGGGTCTTTTGGCTCCTTTGGCTGCTTCTGCTTCTTCTTCTTTGATTTCGCTTGTGATCTAACCATATTGCGACTATTGCTTTCGATCATAGCCGCCTGCATCCTCTTACCCTGGTTTTTGAGTAGTTGAACGTGAGCCCGTCGCGCCGATTCGTCAAACGCTGCCAGTCGGGCTGGGTGGAATGTCGCGTCGTCGGCAACGTAAGCCACCTTCTTCACCACGAGAACTTGCGCCTCTTCGGGCATAAGTTCCAAGGGTAGCCCCATGAAAACGTTCTGTTGAGGATTCTGGGGGATGGTCCCGACAAAGACGGAGCAGATATTATGGTTTCTGCGTAGAAACATCACGTCGTCTATGTCGAAGAGCAGGTATCTTCCAGCGACTTTGGAAATCCTCAGTAGGGGGCGGTCATGGGATGAGACGGTGGCCATTGTCACGTCGGCAGTTGGGCAGTCTGGGAGTGAGTTAGTTGACACGCTCGCCTAGTGGTTGTGGGAGTACGGTAGAGTAAATGAATGCGGTATCATAAAACCAGATAAAAGGGTTATCAACAGAATATTGTGTTCAGTGGATTGACAGATATTGATTGGGTATAATCATGATAGAAGGACAGCAAAAAACAATTTTGTCGACTCACCTGTTGTTTTAGTTTGTTTGAGTGTTGTTGGAATTTGATTCGAATTCAGGGCTGGAGAAAAGTTTTGAGAGTGATGGTGGAGACCAGGATTGAGTTTAGTGCACCCAACATGCAATACAACGTTTTATGCGATTATCACATAGTATATTATCACCAAAGTACCTCCTAGCCTTCCAAGATGCTGTCTCAGAAATCCATACTTGGCTTTCCAGCATCCCCCGATTTGGGCTCATTCGCGTCATCATCCGCTGGTGGAAGATAGAAGGGCTTAATTATCAGCCCTCTTGATCGGCTAAGGCTGAAGGATTGATCATCTAGTGCTGAGTGCGATCCGCCTCCCTTTTCGTGGAAGACTGGCAAACTGTGGACTTTGATCAAGCCCTGAACCTTTTCGTCATCCTTTCCCTCACCCTTCGAGGATGGTGGAGGTTTATGGATAGTCGTTGATTGCAATGGTATGAATTCAAGCACCCCGTCAGACAGCAATTCTATCCATCGCGTGAGACCCGTCGTCCGTGGGTAAAGGGAGAGGGGTAGTGTCATAATGACAGTCAGAGTCTTGGGATACCGTCTCAACAGAGCTCTCATGGCATGTAAGAATTGCAGCACTTCTTGAGGATGGGAAGACGAGCTTGGATACATTGTCGGGGATAACAGGTTGGGAACCATTACGCGATGAACCGATGCCGGTGGAGAATTCCCCAGCTTCATGGACAAGTCTCTAATGAAGAGCTTGAACACAGACGTCTGCTGCCCGCCAGGGACTGACATAGCCATAGATTGATGAAAGCCAATCTGACCTTTCACGTCACCAGGGGATAGCCTCTTTGTAAGATCAAACGAGTGGCAGAAGGGTGCAGCAGTGCCAGCATTCAAGGCACCTTGAGCTCGTTGTGCTTCCCTATCTAGCGGGCGTGTAAGCTAACTATGGATTGAGGTATGGGAAGCTGGCGTACAACATACCTCTCGCTGCCCCTGCGGAACCTAGGCTCTCATATCTCCAAGCAATTTTCATCTTATCTCCCGTGGATGCGTCCAACTTGTGAGAAGATTTGGAATCCGTCGAAAGCCCGGGAAGCTCTGCTCGCCAGCCTTCGTGCAGGCCAAGCACATGAATTTGGTGGCCCTGGACCAAGCCCTCGGCTACGTAGTAGCGAAGGAGCATGCCAGCAAAATCTGTAGTTCCATGCTCGCCTATGAGAAGCGAGGTACCGAGAGGTATCCCCGAGTGACCTGCCAAAAGGCCGTCCAAAGATGCGGTTCCCGAAGAGGTTGTCGGTCTTCCATCTAGAGGCGATGGTCGAACACCGGGAACAGGTGTGTTCTCAGTTTTGGCTTGTACAGCCTGAG